CTTCTTCTTCTTCTTCTTCTTCTTCTTCTTCTTCTTCTTCTTCTTCTCCTTCTCCTCCTCCTCCTCCTCCTCCTCCTCCTCCTCCTGTGTAATTATTTAAACTCCCTTGTACCATCAATAGCAAATCTTCGTTGAGAAAATCACTATCCAAAGAAGAAAATGGCAGGAGTCACTTTGCAAAGGGAGGTGGACACAGAGGGATTTAAAAAAGAAATAAAATAAAAACAGATGGGATGGAAGGAGGGATAGCTTTCCAGAGGAAAAGGTATGGAGAACTATAGTGAATGGTATTTGTATAAAATAGACATTATATTTCCTTTTTTTCCTTAAGTCAATTAATATTTTAATTTAATTTTTTATTCCTTGCTTTGCAATTGGCATAACTTTACTCACCTAAAAATGAAGGAACATGATGCACACACACATATACTCACATCCATATGCCTATACATGCCCAGGGTGTAAGGTGCTTGGTTTCAATTCTGATTCCATTGAAGTTTCAGATGGTTTTATTCAAGATGGTCTTTTTGTATGTAGAGTGGCTATTGCAAAACTAGCAAAAGTCCCTACTTTTAGCAGAATTTAGCAGAATATCTTCATGGAGCTTCAGGAGGTTCTTTGTTATGTGACAAATTTAGTGTAGGAAGGTGGCTAAATTTGGCATCCTCTACATACTTCATGGAAGGAAGACCCATTGCGTTGAAGAAGACAGGCATAGAACTGCACTGCAAATGGGTTAAATGGTGGCAATAATGAGGCACAAAACATAAATAGATGATGGCACCATTTCAGGCAAGAAGAAAACATACAATTATTTGCAAATACAATCTAAAATTCAGCTTGGCTAACATATAGGAACTCAGGAATTGGACCAAATGCTTAATAATGGTCTTAAGGTGGAATTTTAAGGGAGGGAGAGAGGCTGCATATTAGAGGTGGTCTAGGAGAAAGGTCTGAAGAAATGACAGAGTTTTATTAACATGAGCATTTGCCCTGACTTCTCCAGCACAATTGGAATAGTTCAACCTTCTCTACATCCACGTGGGATGCTCTTCAGGAAAAGATCACCTTGTTGGAGCACCAGATCCATGAGAAAACCAACACTTCAGAACATCAGACACACAGTGTACCAAAATCAAAAGGGATGAGACAGAAGCATGTTTCACATGGACGCACGATGGAGACTAAACTTGATCTTCCAGGTAGGGTGGTATCCTCTTGCAAGTCAAAACAATCTTGTGATATTGTGGTGTTGCCAGAATGAGAAAGGAGACTTTGGTCCACATACATGGGGTAAAAATGGATGGATAGATGGAAGGGAGGTAAATTAAGTAAACTGCTAAATAAAAAGAATTAATAAGAGGTGGGTTTAATGACAAGTAAATGGACAATGAAGAAACCAGATGTGTAGGTGACTATTGCCAGGTTTGTGGAGAAATGAGAAATTGTTTTTCCTAGTGATGCCTTCCAGATATCAGAGACTACAATTCGCAAATTCCCAAACTTTAGATTTTGGACCATGCTGCTTGATTAGTAGGATAGGGCATGGGTCAGAGAAGGCTGTCAGGAGGATATAATTAGATGTGAGGCAAATGGAGAACTTCAGTGATTTAACATTTGCATATTGCTTTTTCTATCTCATTTTCTCTCAAAAAACTCTCCTTGTCTTAACAACTGGTTTTATGAGACAGCTAAAGCCGAGAGACAGTGACTGGCTCAAAGCATTTTCTCAATCATGCTGAAATCTGAATATAAATAGACCCACTCTAACCCATTTTAGGTTTTAATTCTCCTCAGACTCAATTAATATAGCCAGTGACAAAGGATTATGAGAAATATTAAGCCCAGAACTTCAAGAGGTATATAGGTTATATTAATCTTGATTAAAAAAAACTATTAGAGATTTATGTAAATATGTTAATGAGTATTTCAATGGATGAGAAATGTAGATTCAAATACTTGGTGTTAATAATTTAATAATATTTTATTTGCTTCTGCATTTCTGAAGAATCTGAATACTGTATGATCACATAATCAGCAGGAAAAGAGATGGGCCTCGGTGGTTAAAAAAGAATGATATTTTGAGAAATATTGCAATATCCTGTTAGACAGACCAATGGGCAGAATGAAACAAAAAAGGGGAATGTTGATTGAAAATATAGCTTAGTCATAAAACCAGCCACATGTGACTGATGTGCAGCAGAGAGGAGCTTGAATAGTGATAGAAACTGCCTGACAGCGTTTTGGTAGCTCAACATGAGATGGATGAATATTACCATTTTTCATGTGCCAATAGTGCTTTATAAAGAATAAGAGAAGAGAGCTCTCCTTTATGATCCTTACGTCACCAAATCTAAATCAAGAAAGGTGTCAAGAGATAATGAAATGGAGGCATGATGACCAAAGCAAGAAAATTTGGTAAAGTTCATGAACTTTGGCCTGTTCGATTGTGGTCATGGGATTCCATTATTGGGAAAGAGCATAGTAAGCCTGGAGAATCAATTCTTAATAGGTCAGATCAGTTGGCAGTATATAGATAATCCACTTCCTCTCTATTTCCCTGTGTTGCAGTGCAGTACCACGTTTCTGCTTTCTTCTGTCCTCCAGGGAACAAGGCAGATAAGCATTCCGAACATTTTCATGTGGATTTCCCCCTTCGCACAAACTACATGTATATCAAGATCAAGCACACTCTACAACGTGAAATCTTTGCCTTTTCCATCTGTCTCTGGCTCAAGTCAACTTCATCCCCAGGGATAGGGACACCTTTCTCCTACTCAGTGCCCAACCAAGCCAATGAAGTAGTGCTTATTCAATGGGGAAATAACCCCATGGAGTTGCTCATCAATGATAAGGTAGGAGAAATGTCTCATAATTGTTTATTTGTGCAGCAGATATATTTGAAAGTGTTAAATTCGGTACCTTGCCATATTTATAATTCCCAGGTTTGCTCATTCTCTTTTATTTGAACTCTTCTGTCCTTGCTTTGCAGGTTGCCACCCTGCCATTGGCTGTTAATGATGCCAAATGGCACCACATCTGTGTGACGTGGTCAACTCGGCACGGCATCTGGAAATCTTACCAGGATGGTGTCCAAAGAGGGAGTGGGGAGAATCTGGCTCCTTGGCATCCTGTGAAACCTGGCGGTGTTTTCATACTAGGCCAGGAGCAGGTAAATAGGCCTCTCAATTTTGTTTGCTGTCACTCTTGTGCATGGTTCTTCTGAATACATATTTATTGCACTCTTCTTCTACAGGACACTCTTGGTGGCCGCTTTGATGCCACTCAAGCTTTCATTGGGGAAATGTCAGATTTCAACATGTGGAGCTATATTGTGACACCTGCTGAAATTTATAAGATGGCAACCTGCAGTAGCTCCATTGGCGGTGATCTTATTAATTGGACTGAAAACACTATAGAACTTCATAGAGGAGTGATCAAACTACCATATAATGCCTGCCACTAAGAATCAACCAAAGAAACATGGACATAACATTCTCTCGGAGAGAAAGATACCTAATGGTTAAAGGCAAAGCACGGGAGGATCTTAAGATTTATTTCATACAGTAATAGAAAGGGTTGGGAAATCAACATTTCTGTGTTCCTTGACAAAAGAATGGCGGTCCTTCATGTTTGGCAAATGTGCAACAAAAAGAAAGTGGTTATGTATGCAGCATCTAATGGCAGGAAAATCTTAAGATTCAGAAATACAGTGAAGTATAGTTTGGAATAAATGCTTTATGAAGCTGAACTATTTTCAATTAAGAAACATTTCCCACATGATAAACCTATGTATTGGGATTTTCTTAACGTAGCAGCAGGAGCAAAATATAAAATTCCTCATGATAACAATATGGCCAATAGGGCACTTCATTCTCAAGGCCTTGATGTGTAACACTGATCCACTAGGAAAATACTTATGGTAGGTCAAAATCCTTTTTTTGACTAGGTGTTTTCTACTTTTTGGATATTCAAGAGGAATGGGAAAAAGAATTTGTTAATATTTTTTTCCAGAATCTTTTTCCTGAATGTTTTCTTTAGATAAATAGATCAATACCTTACCAGGTAAATTGGTTGGATAATGCCTGACTGTTATCTGCTTTAATTTTTTTGTATTATGTATTTTATTTATGTAAGCTTCCTAGTCATTATGTGAGATGAGCACTATAATAACCAATCACAATCTCAAAAGATTTTCAGATTCATTCATCAATCATCTACCATGTAAGTTCTGCACACAAGAATAGTGAATGATGACAGCATTTCTGTTTAGATATTTTCTAGCAGCTTAGTAGACCTTTACCTTGTTCTCAGGAAATCATTGCCAAAAACCCAGTCAAGTCTAGAGGAAGAGTATGAAACACATACTTCTAGATTAATCTCTTAGTATCTAAGTTAATTTTCTCTGAGTTCACAGTTTTTCTGCCTCTTTCCATTTCCCACACCCTCCATTAATTTAAATAGTATTTACATAGTGTATATATGTATATGTATGTATGTATATATCTATCTTTTAAACTTGAATAAAGCCAAGCTTGAAAAAAAACATTCCAACCGTGAATCAACTAATACAACCTGGATGTAGATCTGGACCTGGCCTGATCCAAAATTAGAAGCCATGTTAACCAGCTCTAGAAGCCCTGTGTCAGATTTTGCAAGTATCATAAAGTGCTATTATGCATCATTGCAAAAACCATGTTGGTCAGCATTTTGCTGTATCACAGCAAAAACAGTTGTGTATCGTTGTGTTAGATGTTTAAGCCAACCTATGTTAAAAGTGACTATGGAAGCCCAGGAAGCCTATGAAAATGGAAAGGTTGAGTCAGTATAGCATAATTCCTATTGCACAAATGAATATAACATCATTTGTGCAAACTGATCGCAAGGCTCAAAATTTTTGGAGAAGTCATCACCCAATAGAAATCTGTGCTGAATATATAGAACTGCTTAATATGCGGAGGGGGAAACATTTCTGTGGTGGTGGTGTTTTCAGCACTATATAGAGAGAGGTCAAAGACAAAGGTTCATTGAGGAATATCTAAGCCCTTGAAAGAAAAAAACAAATATATCCAGCATTCATTGTGGATATTCCTAGGTGATGTCAGAATTCTCCTTGCACCGCAATTTTGATCAGCACTGCTGTGCCTGAACCTGCTTAGAAAATGCTGTAAAATGTAACTGTTATACAATTATCTGGTTTAGTTTTGCAGCAGCAGCAATAAAGATGCCAGAGCACAATTTTAGTTTAAAGAAAAAAAAAGCAATAAAGCTTCCAAATGCTACAGTACTAGCTTACCTTGAGGCAGATATTTTAATAAAGATGACTATTTAAGGTAGAGGAAATAAAAAGTAAACCATTAAATCTGAAATCTAAATGAATTGTACTGATGAGAAATTGATCATAGCAATCCTCTGTATTATATCTGTTTTGGATTAAAATGGAGAGGATCTTAAAAAAAGCTTGGGGGAGCAGCAAGACATTCTGAATAAGCATCAAATTTCCATTGCATTTGTATACAGATCTGCAAAAGCACACAATCTTTTTAGCCTAGAATTCTATTTTGTAGATTTTGCTTGCAAATAACAGGTTTTCTGCCTCACTTTGAGATAATGTAGTTATTTTATTCAAGGATGGGCATGCACAATTTTAATTGTCTTGAATGTTCTTATAGCAACTGGATTGCAATAAACTTGTCAAAGAAACTACAATCCTTCTCCACGTGTCTTTTTTCTATTTATAAGTACCCTCGCTACTAGTTTAGTAGCACATCCCACATGCCCCCAAAACAGAGCTTATTTTTAGGAGAGTAAGCTCATTGTCTAGTTAAAAATGATGTGGACTTAACATTGTTATCCTGAGCATTGTTTACTTGGAATTCTGGGAGTTGTAGTTCTATTCCCCAATTGTCTGGAAGGCGCTAAATTAGAGAGACTGGATAGTGAGAAACCTAAGATGCCACCTTTCCTTGATGATCCATTGTGAATTTTGAACAAAAGCACTAATAAAAAGTTAACCATTTTACATACGCATTTTTAATCTTGATCTGAAGACCATTCTTCTAGATTTCAGAAATGAAGTCTGATTTAGTCAATGTCTGGATTCTGTAAACCTTTGTATGTAATTTCATGCTATTGACTGCTAACAAATAAATCAATTAAATATGTTTAATATACATTTAGACTAAGAGATGTCCCAAATAGGAGACAGATTTAAGTTTTTAAATGCTTAAAAAAATCCTCCAAGTATCATTGTAAAAGGAATTGGTTCTAACATGCATATTTTGGCTATGGAGATGTCTCTTATAGTACATGGGTGTCTAATCCAGAAATAAAGTTTTTACTTAACGATTTCTGTTTCTTCCCTATGCAAATTTTATAAAATTACAGCTGTAATCTCTTCAGAGCTATTAATATTAAATAACATCTCTTATCGGGTGGGACCACTGAACAGATAAATTACTCAATGAGTATTTGCTGACATAACACATAAAACATCAGATTTCCTGTAATCATGTCTCCCAGGCATAGAGCAGAGTAGGATATGTTATTAATAGTATTAACTGTTATTAATAGGAAAGTAGGAGGAGGGAGAAGTATGTTTGTCACCTGGAGTTACTTACAAAAATAATAAAGGTGGGATATAAATAAAATAAAACAAGTAGCACTCATAGTAGCATTTGCAGACTGCCAGGAAATGTTCGACGTCAGAAGGAGAAAACTAAGCATTTATTTTGGGAGAAAAGGGACTCAGGTTTGTTCCTCAGGTAGATCACTCATGTGTTCACAATCTTATTATCAATGGTATTTACTGTATTACATCTGGTTCCTTGGCAGTGAGAGGGATATGCAAGATCAGCAGTATATTAATAGCCTCAAGGATTCCTTGGTGACCCTGAGTCCAATGCTAGGATCTAACCTGGCTTCTGGAAAGCCTTTGGTAGAGGGAAAAGGTTATATTTAAGCAATTTCTATCCTTTTCTGGCATTTTTCAGATGCTGTTTTTTAAGTGGAGTTTCCTTTTCCCTTTTTCTAAGTAAAAAGGATACCTAAAAGAAAGCAAATGTTCGTGAATTCACAACTTCAGTTTCTCCCCTTTGGCCAGCTTAGGTCCTTAATAAATATAACAATAAAATAATGAATCAGCCAAAACATAGGTAAGTTTGTGGTGTTTACATATCATCCAGAGATGTATACATTAAATTTTTAAATAATAGTTAACATTTTCTTTAAAAACAAATAAATCAAAAACATCACTGTCAAAGGAAATATCATATAGTTTCTTTCAATGAAAAATGCCCGTCTTTCTCTTTTTTGTTTTCTGGAGCAAGGAGAGAGGGGAAATTGTTATACCTCCTTCCTACAAGACAGATATTAAAATCCACAATAAAGAGTAATAGAGACAAGGAATATTTTGTATTGCTGAAGAACAAGTAATAATCAGTCCCTATGTACAAAGATGCTTTTCCAGAGATATAAAATCAGAAGGCAGGTCAAAGAACCAAGGGCAATACTGAGTGTGGAAAGTGTGTGTGTGTGTGTGTGTGTGTGTGTGCGTGTATTGGGGGGGGGAATTGATCATTATTAAGCAGCTGAAAAGGAAGTCTTGGTAAAAAGTGATCCTTCAAACAAATAAAGGGAGCTTTCCCCGGCCTCTCATCTCTACACAAATCATAACTTGGGAGAAATAATTTGGTTATGACAAACAGCTGGGAAAAAAGGCAATCTTTCCCTCTTTGCCAGCTATGAGATTAATAATTTTAGTTTTCCTCTTCTGAAGCTCTTGTTTATAAAAATATGTATGTTACACATTTGGATTTGAAATATAATTTAACTTTAGTTAAGAAAGGGAAAAAGGCTAGCCACTTTGGGGAGGCAATTAAATTAACGTTGAAAAGGAGTCATGAGTTAGGGCAAAGCTGTCCAACCGTGGCAACTTTTAAGATCTGTGGACTTCCACTCCCAGAATTCCCCAGCCAGCCTTTAGGATTAGGGATTAAGGGGTTTCCTACAATGGGTTTGAGCAGGTATAAAGCAGATGGGCCAGCTCTGAGCAAACTTGTTAATGGGTTGTGATGGAAAATGCTGCTTTAAAGAGTATCCTGGATTTTCTTTTATTTTTACCAAAGACTGAAAATTAATATCAATCCCTTTCTTTTCACTTGCTGCTTTTTCCTCATGCTTTTCTTCTAAATGGAATAAAACACAACCCCTAATTCTGACCACAGCGTTTCTAACCTGGGGGGGGGGGGAGATATTTTCAGTTTAAACCCAACAGGATTTGTACTGGCTGCAGTCAGTGTAGCTTTTCTTGGGGCAGGGGATGCTGATCAGGCTGAAATGCACATGGACGAAGGTACTATAATATTAAGCCAGAGACCTTTGCAGCTCCTGAGGACTTTGCACTATTCCTTCACGAAGGCCTGAGATGTGCCACAAAGTGCTTGGCAGTTTAGAAAGCCAAACTCAGGGTTTCATAAAGCCTTCAGGCTCCGAGGGTTATACCCAAGGGACAACCTGAGGAAAAGCAGTGGTGGAAGATTTAGAGCTCTGAGTGGTACAATATCCCACTCACTGCAGTAGGAGACGGCCTTTGGAGTGAGGTGAGGCTATCATGGGGAAGAACAAACTACTTAAGTTTTGGAGAGGGTGGGGAAAGGGTAACACAACAACTACAGGCTGACCTTCACATAACTGAGCCTGGAATTATGGTCATACGTTCTTCTAATTGTTAAAATGGGTCATCACGCAAACCACCTGAATTTTCAACATTTTCGGGGCCTATGTTTGCAATGGGTGTACTTTTGCCAGTTAAGTAAATGTCAGGGTGTTGTTTTTTTCCAAAAAACTTGGTCATGTAACCATGGAAAGCTGAAAATGCCCATATAATGCAAAATGATTGCCAAACCCCCACAATGTAATCATTGCATGGTTGGGGTCGGGCCCTAGATCTGGAACTTCGAATCTGGGTTGTAAGTACTTGGGAGGAGAGGATGTTTTTATTTTGGTTGCTAAGAGACTGGTCATAAATCAAGGACTATCTTATTTTTGCATTTTTTAAGATCCCCCCACCCCCAAAGTGAATTACACAGACTAATTTTTCTTCCAATTCGTAAGCTAATTCTCTTTTTCTTCTTTATTGTTCTCTGATCTAATAACCCTGAATGTGCAAGTAAGTATCAACAGTTCTGGAAAAATGGGAGAGACAGTTTTTTAACCATCCTGATGGCATAGTGACTTATTATAACTGAAGAAAACAGTTTCCAGAATTTTAAGAAAGATCTGAATCTGAAAAAGACAATACAGAGACATGCCAGTGGGAGTGTTCTCGTTTGAATTCCTCTGTATGACATTAAAAACATATTGAATTAACTACAGAAGGAAGCCCCACGTATATTTGCTGCTACACTTGAGGCAGGAAAGAGCAGGGAGAATTAGCGGTAGTGTCAATGTTCTAATGACTCTACAAGTAATTGAGGAGATTGTCAGTTTTTGCTTGGCAGTCAAAGAAGTTTGGGAACCATGATTTCTGAGTCTAACAATGAAGAATTACAAGCTGTCAGTTATAAATGTGTGTCAGTTATTCCTGCTGAAGGCTACAAATAGTGTTCAAAATTATGTCAGTGCATATACTTTAGTTATCTGGCTCTTTGGCCCCAGCTGGTTGTTGGTGCGTTTACTTCCTTTTGTAAGCCCAAATAATGGGGAATAGGGTATATATAAACATTAATGTGTCAGACTCAGAATACTGTTTTCTTGGATGCACAATATGGCTGGTTTGGCAACAAACTCAAAGGGACATCCTACAGAGAAAAAGCATGTCAAAAATGCTCATGTGATTATTTGCATCAAGAAGCAGTTTGGGGAAATTAAATGACTTGAGTGATCCTGAAACACCGAAAACTAGCAATTTGAAAGACATGCTAGCTTACTCCCTGATGTGCTTGGCTTAGGCGAGCAAGGTGCGGTTTTTCTGTAGCGATGGGAGTGAAAACAAGGGCTTCCCCCCATTCTAAATTGCTAATAATCTGAAGGGGTTTTTCAATTTTTTTTCTTCTCAGACATGCAGACCAGCTGTTATGTTGGGAAGCAGAACGAAGAAGTCCAGTCAAAATAGGAAATGTTCTTTTACCATGATCAAAGTTGGTTGCCCCTAGTCAAGGTGTGGAGGGGTTAAGTGAGAGGCTTCGAAACCAACTGACTCTGTCTGATGAAGGCTGAAGATTAATTCAGTTTGGAGAAGCTGCCTCAAAACACAAAGGATGCACATTCCCTGAAGTTACCGCACCATGGCAGTTCCCAAGCTCAAGTCCCACTGGCAAACCCCTACAGGGCTAGAGGAAGCTCGGGGGGGGGGGGGGGGGAGATGAGTGAGTGGAGGCAGTGGGATGCTGGCATGCCATTAGACTGGCCAAGAAGTGTGGTGGACCCACAACAGGAATAGTTGGTTTCATGGAGTTCAACCCAGGTGGGCTTGTCAGAAGATCCGAGAGATGATACAGGAAGATGTACAGAGAGGGGGAAGGGTGGGAACTAGCTAATCCCCACCTCATGCCTGCTCCTGTTTCTGCTTCACTGAGATGCGTTTCTTGCGGGCAGCCAACATCTCGTAAAAAGGATCCACACTTACAGCAGCCCTGCGAAGAAAGTGTGATATGGAGCATTAAGGAGCCAGGTACAAAAGAGGGAAAAGGACTGTTTCCCTCTATCCCCATTTAAACCTCAAGCAGCTTAGCTGGTGGGTAGATCTGGAAGTACAAATTGCAAATCCTGCTTAGCCATTATTATAATGGTTGCTTTTATATAACACAGCACATTCCAAGCCTTGCCTGATGTCAGAGAATTTCTGTGTTCATAGGACAAGCGACAATCTAAAATTATGCTATATTATGCCCTTTGCTCCACAGAACATGTTAAAATAGTGGTTGGGCTCCCATATTTTTTAGCTCAGTTTAACTCTATTAGTTCCACCCATTGTGTTATACCAACTAACCCTTCAATCAAATCAGTGGTCTAAACATATGCTTAACAAGGAAATGAGGAGGGGGAAAAACCAGGAGAGAGAAGAAAAGAAGTAAATGACATGTCTATATATATTTGTCGACATGTTAAGTCACAACAAAAGGCGTGCTCTTTAGGCAATCTTGCTATATGCACTGCAATGAGGAAATGCAGCCTCAGACCAAGAGATTAAGATGAGAAAGTTTTGACTAAATATTTTAATACGGTAGGTTACATGCTAAGTTATTTTTGAAGGAAGCAAACTGGACATATCTAGGCTTTATGGGCTATTTGATTGCAGATGTTGCATTACCCACTTACTACAAAGAAGTGGCACTACAACATTAATTTTTTGCCTTATTAGCTCTAGGTTTTCCAAGAACCCCACTCTGAATTTATGTCCTATTCAGAACGTTGAGTAAAACATTTAGCCTTTACTAAACTGCATGAAAGCCTCTCTGGGCTGTTCTCATTCTTAACGCATGTGGAAAGATTAAAACTTGGGACCCTTAACTGAGCCTTTCCAGCAGTACTTTATATAACAGAACCACTTCTAAGATTACCAAATCAAGTTTCTCTTCTTCTTCCTGTAGCTCCAAAATCTCTAAGGACTATATTAAGAATATTCTATCAGTTTCTTTTTCATTTCTGAACTATGTTACCAAAGGTTTCTTGGACAAAAGAAATCTTTCTAATTTAAGAATATCTCTGCATGACAGATATTAACTGAGAAGAACAGACAGGATTAAAAGAAAAAGAAAAAAGATATCCCTAAGACCAGAGTTCCCCAACGTTTCCAGTTTTGTAGACCGTTTTTTTTTTTGGGGGGGGGGGGGGGGGGATGGTTTCTCACAAGTGCACTTGCCCGTGTTCCATTTGTGAGTGGTGTGCATATGCACCCACCGCTCATCCAAATGGAGCACACATGCACGTGCTCACTCATTGCTTGTGCAAGTGAGGCTGCGCAGTCTCTTTGGTCATTTTGACAACCCGGTTGCAAATGTCTCACAGCTCAGTAGTGTGCCTGGGCTTACAGGTTGGGGATCCCCCCTGCCTGAGACAATGTCTGTGTCTCCCAATATTGAACAGATTTTTTCTTTTATTAAAGAATATCTCCCAAATCTTATTAAGTCAGAGTAGGGATGCCAAATTTCAGAGAGATTTCAAGATTTATGGAATGGTCACTATAACATGTTCTGACGATTCTGTGCCAAAGTTTTGGTTAATCTCCACAGAAGTTAAATCAGTTGCTTTCTGCTAAATAGTCTTGGAATTTAAAGTGGATTATGAGGAGCTAGAGCTGGGAATCAAGAATCCTGAAAAAGAAATAAATTCTTATTCTCACTTGATGGATTTAATCCACTCGTCTTTTTCTTCCTGTGTAGGTGCCGAGATGCGGTAGACCATATGATTCCCCTCAACCACACGTCCATCCGCCTCAGTCTTACAGGCTTTGATTAGCTGGCCCTTGTTATTGGGAATGTAGAGCTCAAAACAATTCTACAAAAATAAAATAAAAGAGTGATGAAAGGAAGAGAAAGCCTTTAAAAGGCCTGCCTTTTGCAAATGGTTTATGAAAATGCCTTCCAGCAGATTTGTGAGTACAAAGAAGGGAAATAAAAAGATAATATTTTGGGAAGAGAAATAAAAGGGAATACTTGTAATTCAGGGTTGAACTGTAGAGTCCTTGAAGCTCCCTGAGCTTGGTTGTGAAACATATGAAACAGAGGTAAATGAAGTATGGAAATGATCTCTCCTAGAATTTTTTTAAAAAACGCTTTTGCTAACTCTGACCATCCAATGTCTTCAAAGTATGCTTTATTTGCCTGCCTGCACAAGCTTTAGTTGGGGACAGTTGGTCAAAGGCAGATAAACAGAAGAAAAGTGAAATATAAATTTTTATGCAAACAAAGAGTGGCCAACCACGAATCATATCCAGCAAGTAGCCACTTTAGCAATGCTGTAAGCAATCGTAATGTAGCATCACTTACTGGTTTCCGTGGGTCTTCTACTTCCCGAATGCTTAGGTTTTCCAATGGGATGATGCCTCTTGGCTCTTTATCCTAAAAATGGATTTTAAAAATATGAATGAAACAGAACAGGCCCAATAATCTAGGTAGGTAGGAAAGGTAGGGCATTGAAAGCATCTGTTCCAGGAAATCCCTTGGAGAGCCAAGTTTAATTAGTCTCCCTAATTTGGGATTATAGCTCCTAAAATGTTTAACCATAAACTAATATCTAGCTGGAAATTCTCAGAGCAATATTCTCAATGTGACTGGAGGGCACACATTTGAGAAAATGGGGCCTTTTCTATAGTTTGAGGAATGAACACTGCTGTGATATAGTAGTTTTAGTGTTGGACACACGCCCGTCTCACTAGATGATTCTAGTGAGCACTGGTGGCCTTGTGGTTAGAATGCAGTACTGCAGGCTGACCACGCCAACTGCCAGGAGTTCGATCTTAACTGGCTCAAGATTGACTCAGCCTTCCAATGTTGGTACAATGAGGACCCAGGTTGTTGGGGGGGGCAATATGCTGACTCTGTAAATTGCTTAGAGAGGGCTTAAAGCACTATGAAGCAGTGTATAAGTGCTATTGCTATTATTTTTCAGCCGAAGCTCCCTAAGGCAGTTGTGAAGATAAAATCAAGGGTGAGGATAATCATACCTCAACGAAGGCAAATATACATGTCCCGGGATAATGTTGCAAGGTCATATCTGGGATGGTCACCAGGACCAGAGATTTACCCTTCTGAGCTTTTGGACTTATGCTGGAGCCCGTCATCAGGGATCTTCTCTCCACTGGAATAGGTGCATTGAGCTATTCTTTGAGTCACATTTATGTGGTGCGTTCCCATTGGCTGGATGGAAATTACTGAAGTCTGGGAAATGGTTCCCTTATCAGTTAACAGGAGTGCTAATTTTCCACCAGCTTAGGGCCCTTCCATGAGGGCCTGTCAGCACAAGGACACTTCAGCCAATCTCCAGCCACCAACACATCAATCAGCCATTAGGAAGGCACCACATAAATATTACTCACAGAATAGCCCAAAGCATGTATACCAATACGGAGAAGTTCCCTGAGGATGGGCTCCAGCAAAGGCTGAAAAGCTCAGAAGAGTAAATCTCTGGTTCTGATGACTGAACCAGATTCAATCTTACAATCATCATATCTGATGACTTCAGATGATATAGATTTAATCTTTAAGATTAGAGTCTTAACCCAGAGAAACCAGCTCTTCACCAGTGTGACAGACTAGGTGGCATTCTCTGCCTAGCTTCTCATAATATATTCATCTATTACAGCACTTGGTTGTAGGACTTGGGAAAGCACTGATGCTCCTGCGTTTGAGTTATTGTTGATTTTGGTTACAATTGTAAAAACCATAGAGGGAGCAGTTATGGGCCAGCTGTTAATCGTGCAAAATTTAGGGGAACAGTTTGCTGCATCTTACCCTCTTTCTGCCTATTTATTTGTTGTAAATGTAATATTTCTTGAGCAGCTTCTCTGTTTCAAGTGGGCCACTGTTCCTAGACTACCATCCTGTTTTCGCAAGCTGCCTTGCTGATCTGGCCCATTTGATTCACTGAACTGCACACTCTAGGACTCTTTAAGATTCCCACTTGCTAAGAGGAGGAGCGCAGGATGGGTGGGAGAGGGAAACTGTACTAACTGTGGTGTATTCAAAGTAATAGAGGCAGTTGTCAGTCAAGATGAACCAGCGTCGCTTCCAGGTCTTCACTCGTCCTCCTGAAAACAAGAAGGGGAAACCGTTCTCATTTTACATCTATGTCTACTTTGGTTGCTAAACTTTCTCTATCTTCATATTTTGGGGTAGGAAGCCATGCTTATGAACAAAGCCAATGCAATAAAGAATTCAAAAACAATATAAGACACAAGAGGGGGAAAAGGAAGAAAGAACAAGACAAAAAGAGCACAAAACTAAGTCAAAGTAATGAAACACAGCTGGAAAAGGTTCTAGGAGTTTGCAAAATAGTACCTTTTCCAACAGTGGATTTATTTTATGAGCACTGAAGGATTTCAATTACCATGTCCTATATTTTTAAACATGAGAATGGATATGATTCAAGAACTTTTTAATGCCAAGATTTGTAAGGTTGTCCTGAAGCTCGTAATAGTGGGATAGTTTTAATTTGAGCATGTGTCTATGGAGATTGTCAGTCATCCAGGTGAAGGTTATCCCAAAGGTGCTTTTTCAAAAGGCAACCGAACTTTCTTGTTTTTCTTTGAAGATGTTTTGCTTCTCATCCAAGGAGCTTCTTCAGCACTGACTGGATGGTTTGGAAAGGAAGGACTGATATTCCTTGCAGACAGTTTTTGTCATTTGCATTCTTTTTAGAGTCACTGAAGCCACTTGGAATTTTATCTGTATCCTCAGAGTCACCTGAGTCATTGAGAAACTGGAGCTGTGATTTCTGCAGGAAGTTTTCTGCCCTGTATCCCCCTTAACTGTTGAACACAGGCTCAGGCTTTTGGGGATAACTTCTTCAAAGAAAAACAAAAAAGTCCAGTTGCCTGTTGAAAAAAGGACCTTTGGGACAATTTGGGTGTGTGTTTTAGCAACTAAATATCAAGGTTATCACTGAGCATAAATTGATACTCTAAAAACAAATATACTCCTGACTTAAGACAAGCTACTCCAACAAAGCATAGCTGTGTCTCAGAAGCAAATCTCCTTTAAACAAGATCACTGTGAAGAGTCTGGGAGAAATTTCTAGCCTCTCTAAACAAAGTTCTCAACTCCAGAGGGAACTTTTGCATAAGCACTTGATTCTTTTGAACTCAACCTACATTTTTAAGAAAAAGCAGTACTTTTAGCATGCAAAGCAAGCAATTGCTCTAGGCTTGAAACAAGATACAAGTTCAAATTCGTTGCAAAGCCAACAGTCATTCCCAGCTTGAGGCAAAGCTAATCTGTATATATGCATGGGTGCAAATCTGGCTTATCACTGGATAAGGATTTCAACTCTTTCTTTCTTTTTTTTGCAGTCCTCAATTAAGGTAATTTCAAAGAGCACTTAGCCTCTCAAATGGAAATGGACAAAGCTATGAGATGCCAATATATTCTTTGAAGACACATCAAAAATCCATAATCCACGTAGCCCAGTCTTTTGCTGCTTCGGACAATTGCAAGCCAGATACTTCTGGGAAGCTAAGGACAGCCTGAAGGCTGACACCCATAACATACTCCCTGCCAAACAGGTTGCATCTTGAAATCTGCATGAGTATTAAAAAGTACAAGAATCTATGTTCTGTGGCAGCCACCTTCTCTCTCTTTCTTTAATGGGGGGGAAAAAGGATATATCAGTTTTCTAAACAGTAATCCATTAAGATAGATGGAGTATTTATGACATGCAGATTGTGGACAATTCACAATCTATCTGCATACCTCCCCAAAATACCAACAATTGTACTGTTCGAATATGGTGGTAACAGGACTGAAAGTATGAGAGTTAACTGCAAAGCCTTGGGAGATGAAATTTTGTCACCACCCCACAAAACATGCTCAGCCTCTCAATCCATTAATGTTTTGTCCTTCCCTTCCAGTGGCACCACAGCTTCATTGTATGCAGCCCTGCCCTAAAGCTATAAGCATGATCAATTCAGACTTCTGTCAACAGCTGTGTCTATTACCTGGTGGTTTGCTGCAATGGGGAGGGGGAAACAGATTGAGAGAGAAGGGAAAGTGTCAGAAAGGGAAGAATGGAGTGTCAAAAAAAAAGAGAGAGAGAGAGAGAGAAAGAATGGGTGCCCCAACCCACTGATTTTGCTGCAGCCCCACCCTCTAATTAGCAAATGGTCCCAAACAGATGATCATTGAGGGAATGATAGAATACTCAACAGAAAATGGATGCTTGCCCCTGCATCAAGACATGTACCATTCTAGGGGTGAAGAGAATGCTAGTTCCTTACATCTCCTCCACATTCATCTTGGATCCACTGAACCCGTCACAACTGATATTACAACATTTCCCACCCCTGCATGCCCTAAAGCCCAACCGCAGACCCACTTCCAGTCCAAGATGCGCCAGGCAAACCACCTCTCAGCTGCAAAGCAAAAGGCCCCCTCCTCTCACCTACCTCCTGGTTTGGGGGCAGTATTCAGACAGTAGAACAAATGTAGTCCGCACCGTGGGATGGTGGAGGAGAGAGGGGGGTAGGGTAGCAGTGGTGGGGAAAGAAGGGAGCAAAGAGAGAGAAGAGAAGGCAGGGACCAGGGGAGTCAGGATAGAGAAAATGGGGGTGAGAAAGAGAGAGAGAGAAGAAAAAAAGAGAGAAGAAGAGAGAGAAGAAGAGAGAGAAAGGAGAACAAGTTACATCAACATAAGGTAGAAGTACATGGTCAAATCAAAAATCCTCCAACACAGACATAGGCATTTGGGGGCAATGGGATAGGAAAATGGGACAGGAAGAGGGAGGAAGGTTTTAAATTTTATGGGGATGGGTATAAATGGGATAGACATTTCTTTGCTAAATGACAAGGCCTTTTAAACCTTTGACAGGTTATATCTCTAGCACAGGAGTGTCCAATCTTGGCAACTTTTGAGTCCACAGGTCTCTTAAAATTGCCAAAGTTGGACATCAATGCTCAGAGATTTAGATGACATTTACAAACCATGATGCAACCAACTTTGCTACATAATGGCCTCCACAGGGAGGCAAAAATGATTGCAACAATAGTTTGCTAATCACTCATTTCTACAGGTAGATTATTACATCACCAAGAGTTCTGGCTTGTCCAGCAAGCTGCATCTTAATCAAGCCAAGAATTCTGATTCCAAGCACAACTCTTCAAAATTAATTCATGGTCCATTTAATTCTCTGAGGAAAATGACTGGGCTAACTTCTATTCTCACCCCTCCCTTGCCCAAATATTGCTTTTTTCCTTGTTTCCTCCACCTTGAACATACAATGTTTGGGCCACACAATCCTCCTTTTCTTTTTACTGTCGTTCTGTCCTGCTCTATTTCAATTTGGCAACAAAAGACGTGCAATAATATTTTACCTACAGCAAACACTACATTCTAGTGTTGCTCGACCAAAGCATAGGAAAGGTGATGTGATAGGAAACAGCCACGAACTTAAAAGTGGTTTATTTTTACCAGCAAGTGTGAAATCGCCTCCGTTTATATGCTTTTACTCCTTAACTTGCTTTCTGCTCTGAAGCCAAGATTTACTATAAGAGCAAAAGAACCAACAGGAACATTTACCCTGATTTAAGTTCTAACCAGAAGATAGAAGAGCAAAATAAAGCCGTTACAGGTAGTCCTCAACTTACAACCACAACTGGATTTCCAACTTGTCATTAAATGCACAGGTTTATGACCATTTTTACCACAGTCGTTAAGTGAATGTGGCTTCCCCTTGACTTTGCTTGTGGGAAGCTGACTGGGAAGGTCACAAAAGGCAATCACATGAACTTGGGATGCTGCAACCGTGATAAATGCATGTGGGTTTCCAAGCACCCAAAATTGGATCACATGACCCTGGCAACACATGACTAAGGAGACACTGGAATAGTCATAAATGCAAGGACTATCTGTAAGTCACTTTTTACAGTGCTGTTGTAACTACAAATGATTATTAAACAAATAGTTGTAAGTCAAGGATTACCTGTACTATTCTATCTCAATCTCCTGGTAGGAAACCAGGACTCAGTGACCAGAGTCCCATCCAATCACTTAAAACAGCTGATCCCAAGGATTATACCATTTTTGACTCTGATGTTGCTTTGGATTTCTTCTAGTTTGGATCTGAAGTTTTACACTCATGGCCTTGCCTGCTTTGGACCTTATATTGCACCTGGCTTACTTTGGAGGGAGAGAAAGATTCCCTGAGGGTCCTAAAGCTCACCTATTTTGTGCCTCACTCTTGTCAAGAGTACTATTCCACTTTGCTTCAAGCTAACAATGACATCATAAAGCAGTATGCTCCTTTTCCAAGGAGGAATTCTTTGTCTCTGGTTTACAATGTAGCCCAAGAGTAGAGAATTACCAGTACTCTACAATATGCATTTTTATCTACACTAATAAAAATGTTTTATGACAGAAGTTAAACTGGTAGTAGTTCTGCTAATTGCCCTAAGTAGTGTGGAAAAGCAAAGACTGCATCATCTGACTATGAATCCAGATTTAAGACTGGAATATTCCATTGTTTTAATTGTTTTAACTTCCCCACAACTTATAGATGCATCCAATAGGTTTGAAAAGGTACCATCAATAATGGTGAAATATCAGACGCCAGAGATATGGCTTTCAGTGGCCTGACACTGGGGTTTTGGTTACTTGCCTGCTTTTAAAGGCAATTCACAAAAATCCCAGCAGACCCCTCTCATCATCTGTCAGAGAAGATCCACCTCAACTGGGAGGTGGGGAGAAAAATGAAGACCTCTGCAATTCAATGGATCCCCGTGGTTTTTATTTTTATATATATAGGCAGATATATATCTTTGGTTAATGGGAAAGGGAGGGACATCAGGGTGGATTTCAGGAGGATCCCTTTGATCTGATGAAGAGAGAGGTCATGCTTTAAATGACACAACAGGTGGGGGGGAAGAGAGGAGAGTGCAGAGGCGTGCAAAGATCATGGGGTGGGGTGGTGGGAAAGGGCAGGGGGAAGGATAGAGGGGAAGGGGAGAAAAGGCCATAGTGTTTAAAGGGGAAACAGGGGGTGTGCCTCTCACCCAGCTTGAGGAGCCAGCCCTCACGGTCAGGGTTAAAAAATGTGTGAGTCAAGTCGTTCCCATCATCTTCTGGGATCTTGAAGGGCTCATTACGGATGCTGTCGTACAGATTCTAGCAGGAGGGGAGGAAGGAGAGGAATTACAGGCAGGATTATATTCCTTTCCAATTTGGCAAGAAAAAAGATGTTTGAATGTCCATGGCACAGTGACCATGCTTGGTTAACTATACAATGGAGTGGATAAAATAATTCAGAAAACGCACTTGCAAATGAAAGCAAAGTATTTAAAATGTAGAAGAAACTGCAGTCGCAGTAATAGCATTATGTTAAAACAAGGTATGAGAATAGGGCTTCCCAACCTTGGCAACTTTAAAATGTGTGAACTTCAACCCTGCAGAATTCCCCAGTATGGCTCCCTCTAGCCTTTAAACCAGAGAATCATCTAGCTAAAAAACAAGCCTTGCATTCACTTTGCTAACTCCTCACCCGCAGCAACTCCTCCGGCAAGTCGCCCCCATCATTGATACCACGGTTCATAGTGATGAACCTCTCGACCGTGGGCTTGTCTCGGACATTGGGGTTGTGAAGGCTGGTGTTTAGCATGATGACCGCGAAAGAGAGGACATAACATGTATCTGGGGGAACAAAGAACTAAATAAGCATTTCAGAGCTTACTTCTACACATCTGAGTAGATGTGAGGTACAGGTTTTCTGCTTGTAAGTTCTCATTAGAGGATTAAAATCATTACTATAGGAAAAATACTTGAGGGGACGTAAGTTTTGGAACTTCAGCTCATTTGTTTCATCTTTTGGGCTGCTCTGAAATGCTGTGAGTACCTTATTATAGAGCCTTTAGACAGGACCATTTCAGACTACTCTATAATAGAATGTGCCAATGACCCTGGGAGACAGAAGGAAGAGCCGCAGCCTAGACAGTTATCTCACCCCATCGAAGCGAAGGGGACGTGGAAAATCTATAAGGAGGGATTCACCCTAGTTTTCTGCAGAATAAAAGTAAATGACTGGAGAAATTATTTCCAGGCTTGCAATGTTCTGCTAATGTAACCTTAGAATAAAAATAGTTAGCAGTTCTAATTGTGCTTCAGGTCTGAACTACTTAACAGGCTACATGAGAAAATATTTTAGAAATACTTCCTGTATGAAGCAACCTACATGTTTCAGGGAAAGAATGTGATGCAAAGCTTTTCTCTAATGTGTTTAAGTATTTTTAAGGAATATTTGAAGGAAATATTCAAACATAATGATTCGAACATATATAGGCCTAAAACCACAATTGAGCCCAAACTTTTTGTTGCTAAGCGAGATATTTGTTGTGAATTTTGCCCTATTTTATCACCTTTCTTGCCATAGTTGTTAAGGTAGTAACACGATTGTTAAGCTTCCCCATTGACTTTGCTTGACACAAGTTTGCAAAAGGTGATCACATGACTCTGGGACACTGCAACCGTCATAAATGGAAGTCAACTGCCAAGTGGCTGAATTTTGATCATGTAATGGTAAGGATACTGCAACAATCATAAATGTGAAAAATAGATGTCACTTTTTTCAGTTCTGTTGTAACTTCGAATGGCCACTAAATGCTGTAAGACGAGGATTACTTGTTTGTAATTTACTCTCCTACTCTCACCTTATTCTACACAAGCTATTTCTAACAAGTAGTTTTTAGAATATTTAAGAGCTTACGATTCAGATAAACAGATATGTGAATCAAAGGATAACTGTAACTATACTTAGAAATAGATTAAAGTAGGCTGTGGTCCAATGCAGAACGATCTAGTACCATCTTTGCTGCGATTCTAACAAAGATCCCCATTTAAGGCAATCTGAAATCTGATTCTGCAGGGTAAAATTGATCCCTTGAAACTTAGGATCACTCCGCTCCAGGGTAAACAAGTTGTGGTTACAGAACGAATTTGGCCAACTGAGGCCTAGATGAAAGTTTTCTTCTTTCCTGAAACCCCGCTTTTCAGATAAACATTTATTGCTTAGTTACCCTTTCATACAAGAGGTATCTAAAGTTCAAGGCAGTGTATATAAGCAGGGGTCCCCAAACTTGGTAATAAGACTTGTGGACTTCAACCTCCAGAATTCTCCAATCAGCTACATCTTAAAGTTGCCAAGTTTGGAGACCTCTGGTATATAGCCTTTCCCAACTCCTATTTTCCCACCAGAACCCAGATACAATGCACCATACCGATGCAATAACAGATAATGAGATGAGGTGTCCTTGGTGCTCTCTGATCTTGGTTGTTTTCTTGCAGATGTTTCATCAGGCAACATCATCAGTGCAATGACTGCAGGAAAACAACCAAGCTTAGACAGCACCAAGGATTCCTCGTTTCAAGCCTTAGCTACAAATATTCTCCTTTATTAGGACAATGAGATCTCATCTCTTCCCGTTATTGAATCGGTTGTTTTTTAATTCAAAGAACATGTGTTTGATAGAGCATGCAAAATGTGTGACAAAGTAGAGGATCAACCAATGTTTCTGAACTTCTCTTACAATTTAATAAGGTTTTTGGGGAGGGACTTTGACTCTCACATCGAAAAAATTGTTCTCTTGAAGCTTTGTACTTTTATAGACATTGATGAACCTTTAATTCTTGTAAGCAGGAAAGATATGCTCTGGAAGCAAGTATCAGTGAACTCCCGGGGAAATAAATGGCAGGAATGTCCTGGTACTGCCCACATTCTTCATTAACTCAGAGGAGGCCTGAGTTTAACTAAAGAGACCCCATTCTCTTTCTCAAGAAATGCTGTACCTGTAGACTGAAAGACCCCTGGGTTGCACAGACAGTACCGCTGAGCAAAAGCTTCCATCATACGATCAATTTTCTGGGCTTCTCCTGGTAATCGAAAACTCCACAGGAACTGCCTGCAAAGAGGAATGGGAAGCCATGAACTAAGACACAGGAGAAGTTCTCATTTGTCTGATCTGAAATACAGGTAGTCCTCAATTTACAGCCACTCATTTAGTAAACACTCTGAAAAAAACCCCACATATCACCTTTTGCAACCTTCTGACAAGCAACATCAATGGGAAAGACAGATTCACTTAACAACCATATTACTAATTTAACAACCAGAGTGATTCACTTAACAACTCTGGCAAGAAAGGTTATAAAGTGGGGCAATCACTTGTCTTTCTTAGAAATTTTGGGCTTAATTGTGGTTGTAAGTCAAGGACTACCTGCATTGGATATGTTCTTTATTTTGAAAACTAGAGATCCTACAGATCTCATTACAAATTGATTCCATAGCTGGGATGTTTGGCATTCTGAGTGTTTCTATCCTTTCATTTCTTTGCATTTTATTTTCAGCATTTCTTATATCTAGCAAAGGATGACGTGCTCCTCAGCATGAGAGACCACTTCAATTTCCCTCCAGTATCTCTAAATCCATCTAGAAGTACAAATATTGCATGTTTAGAAAACAAATTCAAATTTATGCTGTGCAGCATTCTTCATTCAAATAAATTCACTTCTTCGTTCCTTCCTTCCCTCCCTCCCTCTCTTTTTGTATGTTTGGTTTTCTACTGTTCTTTTTTTTTTTGTATGTTTTGACAACTGTAAGCTGTTTATATGTCAGGTGACATATACATTTAATGTATTATTGTGGTTCGTTATAGTCAGCCAGATGTTCCCAAGGATCTGTGAGAGGTAGATGTGATTGTCTGATGGCATCAAAGCTATTGTTGCAGGATAAAAGCTGTTCCAAGTAAAGCTGCCTTTTTCAACTGACTGATAGTGATTTTGTCAACACCTATGGGGTTGAAGTGCTGCTTCAGATGTTTTGGGATTCCACCCAAGGAGCCGATCACTATGGGTACTATCTTTATTTTCTTTTGCCACAGCTGCTCTACTTCTACTTGCAAGTCTTAGAATTTTATGTCTTTCTCCAATTCTTTCTTTTCTATTCTGTTCCTTTCAGCTATTTCACTGCTCACTACCCAGACTTTTTTGTTTTCTAATTGCATATTAAATTTGGAGAATTACATGGCAGGTGATTGTTTGAACGCCAAACTCCCAGAGCACTTCAGCTTCTAGTAATTTTCTATTACTTTGTATATTTTGGGATCCCAATAATTCTGGCTTACAGGCAAGTGGCTATTTCTTGCAGAAATTCCAATGCTTTTTATTGCTACATTGTTGTGTCACTGTCTGTAGTCAATCTGTGTGATCTTCTTGCAGCAACTAACTAGGAGACAGCATTGGCTGTCTGTGTTTTCTTCTCAATTCTGACTTTCTATGCATTTGTTCTTATAGTTTGGTCCCATAAACAATAATTAGCCTTTGTACCTGAGATTCATTACCTACAACAACCAGTATGCAGTTGGGAGATAAAGTATAACAAAATATGGAAAGCCAAAGGATCCTCTGCCCATCTATATAGAAACATATCATGACAAAGTTAAGAAATGGGGTATAGTGTCATACATAAATCATAGTATAGATTATAGACTATCATATATATTTGCTATAGAGAAGTATAATAAATGAGACAAATGCCAAAGGATTGCATTTTATTTCTTACAAAATTAAAGGAAGGGCTGTGGGAATTGATGCCCACTCATCTACAGGGTGAGTTGGGTGAGGCAGGAACAGAAGTGGCGACTTCAGGCAAGCTCTGCTTCCCCTTTAGCAGGAGAAACAGTAAATTCTTGCTCTTATTCCCTCCACCCCACCCCCCAAGGATAGGAATGAGAGGTACTGCAGTCAAACTGTTGGAAAACGACTGTAGCTAATGAGGATTCAAATATAGTGGATGGCTGAAGATTTCCACTCACCTGAGCGCTTGCACTAGATTGAGGTCAGTAAATTCATGCAAATCAACAAAGGCATGAAGCACACCAATATTAAACTCCTCCCTGAATAAAAGATTAAGAGTTTGTATTAATCCTGTTCCTTCGAAGGCACAATTATTCCTATCATCCCACTCACTAAAATGTTTACCCTATTTTCTTTCCTCATGACCTCTTAAATCTGCTCAGAATTCATTATAAAACAACCAATTTTGGTCTTCTCTTATTGGCAACACCCCTCCTTTCTGAATAAATTTAATCTACCACACTTCAGAATCTATGCTCTTTTCCAGTGCCCCAGGAAGCTCTGTACTGTAGTTTAATCTGCATGGTATTATCAATGGCTGCAATCTTTGTCTCATTGGCTTCTCTCATTGCCGTTCTTGCTCACCTCTCGCCAAGGTAGTCCCCAATGGCTGTCTTGTTGAGGCCTTCCCCTTTGTAGAGGAAGCGAGCAATGTCCTCAGGTGTGGAGCGCAGAAGTTCATTTTCTACCAGGAATTGTATTCCCTGGAAAAGGCAATGAAGTGAAAAAATGTAGAACAGACACAAATATGTTCCCACCCTCAAATTATCTTTAGCTCAGATATCGCAGAAAATTTAGTTTGTTATTTGTGTGTGCGTGTGTGTATGTGTATCTTGATTTTTTACAAATACCTTCCTTCTCCTATTTTCCCCACAACAAAAAACCTGGAGAGTGGTTTGGCTGAGAGAGAATGAATGGCCCAAAATATTGCAGCTGGTTTTCATGGCTAAGGCAGGACTTGAACTCAGTCTCCTGCTTTCTAACCTGATGCCTAATCATTAGACCAAACTGGCTTTCTGGGTTTCTCAACTGGGTTTCCTGCCCCTCAATCATTTGATTCTGTAAACCTAACCAGTCCTGGAGGATGGTAGGGGCGGGGGGGGGGGGGGGAGAAGAATCATGATTCTTCATTCCCAGCAATTCCTGTATCAGCAATTCCTTGGACAAATCTTTCGATATCATAACATGCAGACCCTTCACCCACTTACTTTTTTGGGATCCATGTTGAACTTCTTACGTCCCATCCCCATCTTCCGGTTTCTTTGTAGTGTTTTACTGTCCAAGACAAAGAATCATAGCTTTGACTCTTAGAGAGAGGAACTGCAACATTTTAAGCTCATTTAGGTTTTTGAATACATCCACAGGTAGACCTCGGTAAATTATAGTAATTGGGACCACAATTTCCATCACTAAGCAACACACTAATTAAGCATGGCAATACATGACCAGCAGGCTCCGTTGCCATCTTTAATAAAATCCTGCCGATCATTAGGCAAGGACCCACTTGATTCAAACCATTCCCAGATTAGTCTCTCCCAGCCCTGAGCCTTGGAAGGTAGGGGGTAGCCTCCCCTCAAAGCTTCCCCAATTGACTATCTTCTCCCTCCATCTCTGCTCTTTTGGCCATCCTGCACAGTGACACTTCTCAGAGGTGGTGGCAGTGGTGGCACAAAGGCAAATAAAGCAGGGGCCTGGGGCCTTCAGTAGCCCCAGCCAGCCACTACTGGGCCTCTATTTCAGCCCCAACTCAGGTTTTCTGAAGCATTTGCAAGACAGACACTCCAAATTTAGAGAAGGGTATATTTGACCTTGGGAAGGCGGCCTGGCATAGCCAGAAGCTGCCTCCCACAGGGCAAGGCTAACCCACCTTATCAACAGTGGAAGGAAGAAGAAAGTGAAGGTTAGGTGGGCATGGCAGGGCTATCAGAGTGCAGAGCAACAAAGGCTTTGTGCTGCTATTTAAAATAAATAACTCCTTTCTGGGAATCATTTATTTTCTGTCTCTCAAGAATGATGCTATCTCACAATACCCCTTTGTTCTCATAATATAATACAAGTAGCCATGAAGAGTATACTTAATTCAGTTCCCAAATCCAGAACAGAGAAAGCTGCCTTTACAAAAAAACCATGATTCCCCCAAGGCAAGGGAAGAAGTTCAGACTAATATTTCCTACAATTAAGGCTGCAACCTACAAAACAACTTTTTGTCATTGACTTATATTTTCATTTGACTGATTAACTTCCACCAATTAAAACTGCATAATTACACATCATGCAGCTGAAGAAAGTAGTATACTTAATGAGTTTCATCTGTGCTCACACAAATAGTAATAGGCATTATCTTTATAAAATCATTTCTTCTACAAGGACATTCCTTCTACCATGTTTCTCATATAATAAGGCCAGGTCTTTTTTTTTTTTTGAGCCCCGAAAAAATGGCTAGGCCGTCTTTTCAGGGGTGACTTAATTCCCCCCCCCCCCTTGCATCTTTGGGCGGGCAGCAATGGCTTGGATGTTGACCTTGGTGTTAGTGGAGCACTTCATATTGGGGTCAACGCAGGCAGCACCATATCCGGGTGTGCAACAAAAGTTCTTTCTAACGGCAAGCCCCCCACCATTCCCCATGTTTTAATATAGGCCTTAATTTGGGGGGAGGGGCTTAATTTCATTTCATGCCTATAAAACATGCTGGGACTTCCTATTGGGGGAGGCCGTATTGTTGGAGAAACAGGGTGTCTCCAAAGTAAGAACAGAATACATAAGATACAGATAGTCCTCACTTAACAACTGTCTCATACAGCTACAACAGTGATGAAAAAGTAGTTTTATGTCCAATCATCAGATTCACAACCTTTGCAGGTCTGTAAAGCAAAGGAAAGTTGAAGTAAGACTGTAAGCATAGTTGTGGTTTCACTTTGCAACCACTTCATTTAACAAGTGAGTTGCTAGTCCCAGTTGTGGTTGTAATGACATTTATATAAAACTGTTGCTCAATAATGAAGAGCATCTTTTAAAAAATTAAAGATTCTGACTTCAAACACAGGCACACAAATTTTAGAGATTTCAAAAATACTCTAGTATCAATGGAAGCCACATTATTTGTATTATATATTAAAAGAAAATCTCAGAAGTCAAGGAAACAGCAGATAATTAGAACAGACATATCCTGAGATGACTCAGAGACTCGTATGTTCAGAGAAGACTGGAACAGTCTCAGAAAAGCCTGTGCTGAAACCTTAATGTCTTCAGAGGAAAGCAGACCTTAGACCAGTGGTTCCCAATCTTGGCAACTCTCAAAATTCCTCTGCCAGCATAGCTGGGTAGGGAATTTTGGGAGTTGTGAAATTGTCAAGGGAAACCCCTGCTTTAGATATTCTTTTCTAGGGAGAAGGAATCCCTCACCTTCCCTCATTGGCCTCCAGCCCCTCCACCTCATTCATGGCTTCACTGAGTTCATCTCTCAAGCGTTGGATTTCCACCAAGAGCTCCTGCTTCCGTCGCCGGATGTTCTCCAACTCTAGCCTCTCTTCTGGTGTCAGATCTGGAGGCACTGCAATGGAAGGAAGGAAGCAGACTGAAGAAAACATACTCTTCTTGTCACTTTGAATCATTAGAGAAACCAGAGGTGTCTTTTCCAATGAGTCCAAATCCAAATTTTGCCTCCATCTCAGGAATTTGTGACAGTGTCACATAATCAAAAGGGAATATACAGGTGGTTCTTGATTTTTGAGCAGTTGCTTAGCAATTATTCAAAGTCCCAACGGACCTCCCCCCAAAAGGTACTTATGACCCATTTCCAGTGGCTGGTTCTCCCCCTCCCATTGCGATTTATGATATTTTGTTGATAATCAACATTTACTTCTGGTTTTCAGCAATAAAAAAGAGTTATAAAATTGGTCCGGTCACATGATGACTGGTTTATGACTGTCACAACTTATGACCGTAATGGGCAGGATCTATTATGGTTGAAGAACAATCAATATATATATTATGTCTTAAGTAATATATCTGATCAAGGTAGACCAGTTCAGAATCAGATTCCACAGGACTTCTTTAGTCATGGCTGACTGAAGTTCATGAACAAGGATGTAAAGAATGGGTAGACTAGTTCTTCGAATCTCACTGAAGAACAAGAGCTTCAGTTTGGCCACAAGAATTCTTTATGAGGAGACCATATAATAATGGTCTCTCATTGAGTTTGAGCACTCTCAAGTAGCAGCAGAATTTTTCCTAAAGACATTAAGCTAATCAAATTCACTTTGGAATTACATTCATTTCACCATTTTATGGATATTGGAGACCTTCTAAATGGCAATTTTGATTTCTAATTTGACACCTGGTGAGTTTTACCTTCTTTGGATTTAAGAAATTTTAAGCAGAGAATTTAAAATAATATACTATTGGCAAAAAGCAAAAAAAAAAAAGTTTTAAATAGATAGGAGGCCACAGAGTTTATTTCTGCTATAAGATTTGAAAACAAGTCTATAAATTAAATAATATACTCATAGGAAATGACTGATACAAAATTAAACCCATATTAGGAGCTGAGGCTTGATGAAGGTTGCAAATGAAAACTAGAGGCAGTTTGCTGTAAGTCTGGCAGAGTCACTTTTATGAGATGAGAGGCCATATAAACGTAAATAAATAAATAAAAGTCCAGGAAGAAATTACTTAAATCTTAAAGATTTTTGAAGCATGAACTGAAATATTAATAACCAATACCTCAGAAAAGATACAAATTTTAACGGAGAAACTTTTAGATGATGAGAAAAACTTTCTAAAAGCCCTTTACTTAACATATGTATTATAGAGTTTGAAGTCATGGAAAATAAGAAAACTGGTATTAACAAAATGGGAATATCTAAGACAAATTTTTAAAAAGGACCTGAAATTGGAACAGTTGTGGCAAGAAATCCTTGGAATTCTCTTTATGGGATTTTCAAAGTAGGCTAATGGAAACTATGAAAACTTTTAAATATCAAAAAGTGATCATCAAATCTAAGATGCCGTACGAATGATTTAAAGGTCAAGATTACCGAGAGCAAAAAAGAAGGAACATAAAGTTGACTATTTGACCAGGGATAAACTCTGATATTTTTACTGAGTCCTAGTGGACTTTTTTTTTTCTGAGCTAAGATTGAAAAGATGAAGATTTCTTGATTGCATATTAATAAAAGTTAGGGTGTGAGCTTTTGTTTTTATTTGTAACTTTAAAAGAAAGTTAGTATATTAGCATGTGATAGTTAATTATTGTCTTTGTTGTCTTTTTATTTTATTTTTCCTGCACCTTCTGAGTTTTTCTTTTCCTTTTTCTTCCAATTTGGTTTATATTGGTTTTTACTATGCTTATTAAAAACTTCAATTAAATTAATAGAAAAAAAAAGATTAAACAGAAAATTTAGAACTATATTTTATTGAGATAGACTTAAGAATAGAATCTTGCATCTTGCTGTGTTTTACCTTTTCTCCCTCTTATATCCTAGTGTATCAAACCTGCCTGAATCTCTTGCCAATACTGTCTTGCTTCTCAAAGCTTAAGGAATGTTTCAACCTTATTTGCTTATATATGATCTCACCTGTGTCCTTAAAATTATCTTTTCAGCTTTTTATGTTAGTGTTTCTTTATCTCAGCAACTTTATTATTGTCAGTTTATCTTCCCTTCCCAGCAAGGGAAAAGTCCATACATCTTAAAGCTGCTGAGGTCAACAAACATTAGTCTATACCCACATCCAAACAAAAGCACCCCTTACAGATGGCTATTAAGTCACTGTCTGAACACATCCAGCGATGGGAAACCCCTTGTCTTGTTTGACAATTGATTTCACTATTGAATCGCTATAAGGAACTTTTCCTAGCATTCAGTTGGAATCTATCCTTTCTTTGGGCAAGACAAGTCCATGCAATGCCAATCTTCAATGTTACATAAATGTTTATTATCATTCTTTCATCGTCCATATTATTTACATCAAACTCCTCCTTCTCGCTAGGACTTGTGACCGTCTTAAAACAATTCCAATCTTGTTAGCAGATGCAAGCTTTAAAGTGGTTATTCAAGATTCATTTACAATGTGTGCGTAAGAGGAACCAAACTGTCAAAAAACCTGAAGTTCACAGGTCCAAATGTTGATCTCTGGATAGTGCCTTTGAGTCATTAACACTGGCATGATCTACTTCACAGGGTTGTTACAAGCAGGAAATGAGATGAGTAGAGAATCAGGTATGTTGCAAAGGAAAGCAAGATATATAAAATCATAATAATAAAAACCTTTGCAAAAGCCACTTCCTCTAGGTCTAAGATGTCCAGCTTTCAGCTCAGAGGCACTCCCACAAGAACTTATACTGAAGACAGCCTGCAGGTGTGGGCATATGCACATACAGTCCTCTGAATAATTCATGTTTGTTTGTAAAAGCAATTAGGGGAAGGACATAATAGCCAAAATATTTTTGAGTTACAAAAACTTTAATTCAGTTTCAAAGAAGAAATGGGAGTTGCTTAATTATTTTATTGAAAATGAAAGAGCCCAGAGGCAATGAAAAACTGAAATATTAATATATATTAATAAATATTATAATATTAATATACACTAATCTATACTAATACATATTAATATATATTATACTTATTAAATGTATATGCTATTGATCTCACAGTCTGAGCAATTCTGAACAGCCAATTCACCTTATTAAAAACGATTATTATAACGAATTATGCCCAACACCGTTTTTAACTCTTTTTAAACCATTCCTTGGCAGCTCACATATATTTAAAGAAGAAAATTATTATTAAAATAATATTAATAAATAAGATGTAATATTAGTAGCAGGGGTAACATGTTAAAAATAAACAGGATGAGAGTCTATGATTTACAGTATATAATTCTCGCCCCTTTCCCCTCGCAGCATGGTTGGATCCAACCACAAACTGCCCCTTCCCTCCGAGGAATGGTACAGCCTCCTATTTAAATTATAACGGTGCTTTTTAGAGCCGTCTCATCAATTCCTTTAGTAAGTAGGTTGCCAATTCTCACCCTCCTCCATCTCTTTCGAGAACCACTTAAACAGACCCCATCCCATTTTATCTAATTTGAAGTCACAGACAATGGTGCATTCCACCCTCCCTCTTGTCATGGTAGAGCCTAAAAATCCCACCCTACTCCCTGCCCGATTCATGTAATGGTATATCTTAGTGGATGGAACGCGTCGCACGCCTTATCGTTAAATGAATAAAATCCAGATTTCCCCCTTTCCTTATTATGGAACGGGCCAACCCGGCATTCCCCTTCCATTTCGCATGGTTTACTCCAGCCTCACCCCTCTTTGTAAGGATCGGCCCCGCCCCCTACGCAACTGGTACTGAATGGCTCAGTCCACCCACTCTTTTTCCTATTGTAGTTATTGGGCGGGTCTCGTAATGGCACTATCTGCCCCTCTTATCTTCCCTCTAAGTTCCCAATAGAAGAGTTTTAGGGAGCCCTACCATAGATACCGTCCTCCATGACGACCAGAGTGACCCCAAACAAGGCCAAAGGGAACCCCAGCTTCTCCTTGCCTCCTTTCTTCGGTGCTGCAACAGGAATGCCCTCCTACAGCAGCCGGGTTCTAAACTGAAAGGAACGTTCCGCCTCTCATGAAAAGCGTAGCCAATAGGAAAGAAAAACCTCGAGAATAGCCACCTAATAGCCAGGAGAAGCAGCCAATAGAGAGGAAATTCTTATAAATTACATATACACTCGTACACTATTGTAGCAACCAATAGGCATCCTCAGCATGATATTGACAGGTGAGTTGTTCAATGAAATCTTACACTAGCCCACTCATTTTTGTGGCCTTGTACTCGGCGTACTTTGAGCCGGTTCGTTCTGTGCACATTTCAACGAAGATATAGAAATCGTATAGAGTCCTTTAGAGTTTTTATTCAACTGACTTGGGGAAGGATCATATTTCCTTTGTCTGATTCAGCGATTTCGATCCAAACAGCAGCTGCTCCTATTTTTGCTCCTGTAGTTCATTTCCAATTATTCTAACTTGCCATTCTCATAAACGGGCGGGGTATTTTGCCTCTGTCCCAGGAAAAACAAATTATATTCAAATCTCATCCTCTTCTATTTGTACGTTTATGCATTCCGAACGTCTTAAACGTCACTCTTCCAGCCCTGCCCTCATCCCACAACTGTCAATCAAGATGAGGGAAGCGTAAGCAACCCAATCGAGACCGGCTACTGTATACGGACTGCAAAAATAAAATAAAAAAAAAAAAATCCTGCTCGTCAGGAGATGCGGCAGAGGACAAGGTTTTTCAGCCTGGGCAACTGAGACGTGTTTCCCTTCAGCTCCCAGATACTCAGAATATGCTGGCTGGGGAATTCTGGGAATTGAAGTCCACAAGTCTTCAGGTTGCTCAGGTTGACAAACGTTTGAGTTTTGTGTTGACTCTTTGCTGCCATCTTGTCGTCAGCTAGACTTTTGCAGCCCAAATTCCATAGGCCTGCCAGAATCATAGGGTGGTTGTCTCCATGGCCACTAGTACATTTAGTTGCCACATCACTGAGGGTTTTCCCTTTATCCTGCTGCTTTATACCGTTTATTCCCTCCATCCTGCCGCTGAGGTGCCTTAAATCATCTCTTGCTATTCTGCTGTTAAAACCCCATATTTCCTTTTTTCTTGACAGTGTTTTGGATACTATCAAGCACATCACTTGGAAACCCAGGTTGAATGCTAACACTAGACCCATGTTTACCGAACTGAACCCAAAGCACAAAGATGAGTTTCAACTGGGAGAAACAGGCACCTCCAGCTAAGTGTTGCTGATTTTATCCCCATGAGCGCCATTTGTTCAACGATTGTTTGCAATTATGATAGCAAATGTTGAGACTTGCAACTTTCCCTTGAACGTTTGGCCTTCACAACATTCCCCCAGTCAGGTAAGAACGATTCAGGCACTTGGCAAATACCTTGCAATTAGAACATCACAATGTCATGTGATTGCCATTTGTGACCTTCATTGCTTGTTTCTGACAAGCAAGGTCAATGGTGAAACGAGCAGGAAATTGCAAACAGGAATTACATGATATTGCAATCACATGGGATTTGGTTAACCATTGTAGGAAGTTAGCACCCATCCCTCCTAGAAAAATGAAATATCCTAGGAAATAATAAAAAGGCAGAATATTTCCCCTAAAAGAGTAGAAACACAGAAGCAGAAACTCACCTCAGAAGCAGAAGCTCACCCCCACCTTTGTTAATGGGTGGGCCATTATGGCCTGGGCCAGAATACTTTACATAACAAAGATCTCCAGGTAAAGCTATAGAAATTGCCAAAAGCCCTTTCAATGCATCATCATCCAGCAAGGCTCAACCAAGCCTGGAACTCAGGTGAAGCCATGTGGTCCAGACCAGGGGTCGACAACCTTTTGGACCTCAGGGATCACCCAACTCATAATTTTAAATCCCAGGGACCACTAACTGGTTCTGTGGGCGTGACCTAATTTGTGGGTGTGGCTTTGTGGTCATGTGACTGGCTGGGCATGGCTTGTATGTAAATATTATAAATGTTTATATAAATATTGAATCTTTTATTAAAACAAGAGCAACTTTTATCCAAAATCAGGCGAAGCAGGCAGGCAGATTGAGTTGCTCACAAAATCATTCAGTGATCTATCTGCCATTGACTAGCTCAGTCTCTCAAATTTGCTTGCCGTGAGAACCTTCAGTCCTAAGGGAGGTTCGGCCCTGCTTAAAAGCAGAGCTGAAGATTTAAAGACTAGCTAGAAAGCAAGAAATCCAACAATTTCCTGCTTACTAGCTAATCTAAATCTCCCGACACAGCAGAACACCGGATGGTTGGAAAAAGGAAAAATAGCAAGTTTGCTGGGTAAGGAGTGAGTTGGCAGGGAGGGTTTCCACGGGCCATGTGGGTGGCGTAGGCTTGTGTTTTTGCGCAGCCTGGATTAATTGCTTTGGGGTGTGCTCTGGGGGTGAGATTTCTCTGCGGCCCACCAGTGGGCTGCGGCCCACCGGTTGGCAACCACTGGTCCAGACAAAGACTACAAAGTTAACTAAGACCCCCACCTCCGGGAATCTGACAGCCAATGGGATACATTTCTTGCACAGGAACAGGAAACACTAAGGTAGGACCCAACAGAGGGTATATAAGGGTCTCTCAGCATCTTGGCCCTTCTTTTCCTTCACCCAACATCTTGCAACATGTGATCATCCTTTTCATTTTAGAGCTCCAAGCCATGTGGTCCTGTCCACCATTAAACCATCTTTTCAAACAGCCTCCATGTTTCCAGTGTCTTTTTCCCCACTTGGGACTGAACCAAGAAGGATAATTCTTCCAACACAATGACAACTGGAACCGCCATAACTGCCATCAGAAGCCAGCATGGTCATATGACATCATGCTTTATTAATGTTGTGCAGTGACAGAATTCATGGCCCTAATTACCATATTTTAGCCAGGATTACCTATATAAGATTGTTGCTGTTTCTGTCAGCAAGGTCTATTGCTTGTTGAGGAAGGAATGCCAGATTTTGTCTACTTCTCAGGTTCTTTCTGGATGTTGCTGGTTGTGGCTGCTACAACTAGAACTGCTGTTCCCTTGCAGAATCAGTCAAGGACAAAGATTGCTCATTATCAGATGCTGCTCCCTCCCTTGTGTTAACTTGCACTACTCATCAGTCTTGTTATTTGTGACATGGGCTCTTTTGGGACATGTGTTACATTTTATTTTAGAAGAGTGCTGGATCCATGTTCCAAAATAGCTCACTTGACAGGTGAAAGTCACAGAGCCTTTCTGCTCCTGTCATCTGATAATGGGATAATTTGGTTGTTGGTGAAACTGCCATTCCAGATGGTTTCCTCCACTTGTCCCACTCTGCCCCCTCCCCACATGCACCTATAAGGGAGAGCAATTGGAGAAGCAAAGCCAGAGATTTCTTTGTCTTGTTCTGTGTTAAAAGCAAAGATGGGCCCATTTGCTGGCCTTGTAACTAAAGCAGAGAAGGGCTTGATTTTCAAGGCAGGGCATCGCAGCTGGCCTCTTTTCTGTTGCCCTTTAATACAACCACCTGGCTGTGTTGGCAGAAAGTTATTTTGCTGGCCTCAAAAGCAGACAAGAAAGGGAGTAGCAGAGAGATCTAGACAGTTGCTTGTCTTTCTTGTATCCTTACCTGGTAATTCACTTAAGGACCCCTTACTAATTAGTAGGTGCAGTGATCTTTGTAAAGCTTTGTAGCAGAAAATTATCTGTTATCTTACTTATGTACTTAATTGCTACTTAGAAGAAGATGAATGCCAGATAGGGAGAATTGTTTATTGGTTTACAATCTTTTCCAAATAAGGATTTGTATGCAATCCTTCAGAGCAGCCCTGTTTAGAATTACATAGAAAACAATTTGCCAGGTAAGGCTTTAGCAGTCACTCTTAATCTTACCTGATGTATTAGAATAGCCTCCCACTAATCTGATGCATGCTTCCCCCCCTCAAAAGTGTATGTTTGGACATCCCTGGGAGCTGCTGTCCAATGCATCTAGAATACAGTGCATCCTTTTAAAAAAAGCATCTCTATTTCTATCTGCAAAAATCCAGACAATCACTAGAAGGCAGCGAAATATAGAATTTTGAAACTCTTTGCTATCTGATGGCGCTTTGAACGCTTGCAGCACAGAAATGCATGTAATGTTCCTCATGAATTATAAAACTTGGTTGCATCAAATACAGGGGTATATGCAGCTGTAACTCAGAATAATATTTCATAGATTTCTTTATTGCTGAGATAAATGTAAAGAAATGTAAAGAAACAGTTGCTGACTTACAGTCTGGGTGAAATATCTGTTGGATCATAAATGTTGGAAATAATTGATCAACTCTACAAAAAATTATTGGATGTCTAGTGTACAATGTTTCTTACTTGTTAAAGTGATACAGGACTGAGTTAGCTTGATGAGACTCTTGCATAAAAAAACCCCCAATGCAGTGCTGTTGCAAGCTTGCAATTCGAGTGATAGACAGTAGAGAGTGGGATTTGATCATCTCGCTTGAAGCTTCCATTTCTTCTGCCAGAATCTGTTAAACGAATGGATGAGGTGACAATAAACTGCAGTGCTGTCAATGGGGGGACTGACAGAGCTGAGAAAAAAAAAAAGGCTCTCTCAGATAGCAAAATGTATGAGTGTTGACTTTTGAGCCTGAGGCAGGGCAGGAGGACGGGTCGCTTCTGAATCACCTATGTCAAATTATTCTATGGATGCTCATCAGTTGGCCATTGGCCAAGCAAGTTGGCCAGTGATAGATTTAGCGCTAATACAGAACAGAGATGGACCATGTTACTATAGCCCATTTCCAGTGAATCTTAGCTCTTTTCATGAGTTTATGAAGCTTGTTAAAATATTTCTTTGGAGATGTGATACACTTTGCTGTATCCTTTTCCTTAAGCATCTGTATCTCTGCTCAGTTCTTTCACAAACAATCTTCAAATTCAGTTTATATGAAAGTATTAAAAGAGGAGAAGAATAGCTCCTTTCAAAACTTTACCTTCCCTTGGGGTTTCCAGGAGAATGCAAGGCATTTGAGCAGGATGAGGACCTGA